CCACACCTCTTTTTATATAAGGTTTCATATTTAATTTGGTCATGAATTCATAAATACATGAGTATTTTGTACCTAATGGTCTTCCTTTTATTGTTTGGTATTACCAACACACTCTTCAAATAGGGACCTTCCACTGGCAAGAACGGACCCCCAATTACCGGAGAAAGACTTTATTAACTGCATACCATGTACCAGTGCTATTCGGACTGGGAATATAGAAAACAAAAACATCCAAACAAACCAATTTCATACTATCGTGAATAAGCATGAGAAATACTGAGAAGGCTAGTTTAGATGCACCTTCATAGAAGTCCTCTGAGGGAAGGACAAGGAGCTGGAACCTGGCCGATTTCCTCTGAGACAGTACCCTGAATGTGCCTAAATCTTCAGGCCTTTGTAGCTTTGATCCAAACACACCAGCCCTGGGACAAGACAATCCAGAATGCCTTGTGATGGAAAAGACCAAAAACCCTGAGCCCTACTACCTCCATGAACTGATCCTGCCAGACTGGCATACTATGGGGAAGGGTTTGCAGGAAAGAGGCTGAAATGGTTACTTAAGAGAAAGTGGCACAAGAACAAAACCCTATTGTGTCAGCCATTCTAGGCCTCCTGGTCACGTATTCAAGAATTGTTATGTCTGTGTTGGGTGTTTTAAATGGAAGTCAGATGCTTACAGAGGAGCTAAGCTCCTCAAAGAGAGAATCTCTCCAAAATGAAGCTCTGGGGCTCAGTGTCACAGATCACCGGAAGGGAGAGGGACCTTCTAGTCCCGAGTTAGCAAACAGTTCACACTATTCATGAGCACCATCCACTCTTCTTCCCTGGGACCAAGGCAGACACTGGGGACAGATCCCTGTCCTCTCTCTCCTTTGGAAATGGTGCTTGGCATGGAACCTATTTGCCACTTGTGATCTAACCCATCTGTCACCCTCCCATCCCATCCATGGAGGAGGACAATCTGGTCATGAGCCAACCACACATGGAGTTTCACGTGGATGTGGTTCTCCCCAAGTGCCTGCTCACCTGTAAACACATACCTATAAATAAATTAACATTCGACACCTAGAAAGCTGTCAAGTTTAAAAGACTGGCCCCTGTAGAAGTTGCCAGTGATCCAAACACAGTTGAATTGAAGTGCATGTGAGAGAGAACTGGAATCCAGAGTGAGACCTTACAGAGGGTGGGTTTTCTCTCCNCTGAGCTCACAGCCGGTGGCTTCAAGGCTGATGTTGAGGAGCCCTTGGGCAGAAGGGGAGCGTCTAGGTGGGGAGCACAGTGCAGCACCCACATCTTCCCTCTGGGGAAGAGGATGGTGTAGAGGCTGACCTGAATCAGGGGGCCTTGCAGGAACTGTAGGTGAGGGCAAGAGCTGGGTCCTAGAGAACAAGGGGAAGGAGAAATGGGTCTCCTAGGAGCTTGCAGGGAATGAGGGTGCAGGAAAGGCCTTGGGGAGAGAAAGAGTAGGAGAGGACACAGGAGAGTGGCCAAAGAACTCCCCAGCAGCCTGGGCCTGCTCAGACTCCTCAGTGATCCGCTTCCCTTTCCTCAGCAGCCCTGTTGGAGCCCATCTGTGCCAGGCTGGACCCCCCCAGCCTGAGGTACAGCCCAGAGAAGCCACCCTGGGAGGTGTGGGTGAGCAAGGCCAGCCTGGTGGCCTTGTGTCCCTGTCCCCAGAGGGAAGGGCAGGCAGGAGAGGGAAGGGAGGAGGTGCTGAATGCCAGTCCCCCATGAACCTGAACTTTGGATTCCAGGGAGTCAGAGCAGGAAACACCCCCCGGCAGGGCAAGTCTGGAAGGGAGGAAGGAAGGAGCGGGTCACATGGCAGAAACACCAGATTGTTTCAGAGGGAGGATGGGAGATAGGGTGAAAAACAATCAAACAAAAACACACACCTCTTTTACATAAGGTTTTGTACTTAATTTGGTCAAGAACTCATAAACACATGAGCATTCTGTACCTAATGGTCTTCCTTTTATTATTTGGTATTACCAACACACTCTTCAAATAAGGACCTTCCACTGGCAAGAACGGACCCTCAATTACCAGAGAAAGACTTTATTAAGTGCGTATCATGTGCCACTGCTGTTTGGACTGGGTATAAAGATAACAAAAACATCCAAACAAACCAATTTCATACTATCATGAATAAACATGAGAAACCCTGATAAGGCTACTTTAGATGGCCTTCAAGGAAGTCCTCTGAGAGAGGGACAAGGAGCTGAAATCTGACTGATTTCCTTTGAGACCCAAGGGCAGAGCATCCTGTGCAGCAAAGGCAGGACCATCCTGTGCCTTTAGGAAGTGGAGGGGGCAACTTGGGGACCCCAATGGAAGTGGGAGAGGAATGTAAGGGTATAGACTGAGGGTCTTTCCCTCCTAAAATACCCTTGACAGTTCTCTGAATGTGCCTAAATCTTCAGGCCATTCTAGCTTCGGCCCAAACACACCAGCCCTGGGACAAGACAACACACAACTCCTTGAGATGAAAAAGACCAAAAACCCTGAGTGCTACTGGCATACTATGGGGAAGGGTTTGCTGGAAGGAGGCTGAAATTGTTACTGAGGTTTTAAAAAAATAACAGAAAGTGGCACAAGAACAAAACCCTAATGTGTCAGCCATTCTAGGCCTCCTGGTCACAGTATTCAAGTATTGTTATGTCTGTGTTGAGTGTTTTCCATGGAAGTCAGATACTTACAGAGGAGCTAAGCTCCTCAAAGAGGGAATCTGTGCCCCAAAATTAAACTCTGGGGTTCAGTGTCACAGATCACCAGAAGTGAGAGGGGCCTTCTAGTCCCGAGTTAGCAAACAGTTCACACTATTCATGAGCACCATCCACTCTTCTTCCCTGAGACCATGGCAGACACTGGGGACAGATCCCTGTCCTCTCTCTCCATTGGAAATGGTGCTTGGCATGGAACCCATTTGCCACTTGTGATCTAACCCATCTGTCACCCTCCCATCCCATCCATGGAGGAGGACAATCTGGTCATGACCCAACCACACATGGAGTTTCTCACGTAGATGTGGTTCTCCCCAAGTGCCTGCTCACCTGTAAACACATACCTACAAATAAATTAACATTCGACACCTAGAAAGTTGTCAAGTTTAAAAGACTGGTCCCCATAGAAGTTGCCAGTGATCCAAACACAGTTGAATTGAAGTGCATATGAGAGAGAACTAGAATCCAGAGTGAGACCTTACAGAGGGTGGGTTTTCTCTCCCTCCCACTCTGTACTTGCACTCATTTTGTGGTTGCCTAATCCATCACGGTAACCTATGTAAATAACTTACTAAGTACACTTACAAACATGTTTACATTCTCATATAATCATATACAAAAATATAAACATAGAAATGCATGTATCCTATAGTATCAAGCAATAGCTGGACAAGAGTAAATGCATGCATATAACATGGATGGATCTTACAATGTAACAAACACAAGTAAAGAGAAATTCCTACTAGGATGAAAAAGTGCAAGAACGGAAAAGAATGACATCCTAACACAACTCTCCATACACACACAAACGTTAATTCACACACCAAGAATCATACGCATGTTTCCATGTTTGCTTATCACAACCATTTCATAAAAATTACTCCAAGTCCGCCAAGAACATTCTAGGACTTTCCCTCCACTGGACTATACTGGATGGTAGAGTTTCTTCAAGCACCAGTCATGTGAAATTTTTGACTGCTTCCTACAGGCTGATGTCTAATCGCTATTTTTTTCCAGAAGAAAAGATAAGTTAGAGGACCTCTGGCTTCCTAAAGAGATTCCTTCACACTCAGGTCGCAGCAGAGCCTGCTCCACTTTCTCGATAGATGAACCTTGTGGAGCCCACCAAATGGTCCTCAATGGTCTCCCTTGCAAGTCTTTCTCCCATCGTCTCCAAGGCATCCAGCAGGGTGTTGACAGAGGCGCCCCGCCCCGTTTTGTTGACCCACGTCACCAGCATTTCATACAAGGCGTCCTGTGGCCCTGCAGCACGAGCTCTGGCCACATGGATCTCATTTTCGGTGAGGCCCACCAGCCGCATGAACAGGTTCCAGGACTCAAAGGGCACGTTGTCGGGAAAGATATTATGGAAGCAAAGCCTCAGACCTAGGTAAAGACAAGACACAGAGACGGTCCGCTGAGTTGGGATGCGCTTCAGGAAGGGCCGAGGGTCCTAGACCCCAAGGGTGGAGCCGAATGGACTCCCGATGCTGGTGAACCTGTTGCCCCAGTGTCCCTACTTGCTTCCCATCCACAGAGAAGCAGGCCATACTACCGGGGTGTCACCTGCTCCCAAGACACAGCAGGGAGTCCAGGCCCACAGAGAGTCCTGCCCCAAAGGGCGGTTGATACCCCACCAAAGGGGACGGATGGACATGATGGAGGCAGAAAACAACGTGGGGAAGGAGCCACAGTGTGGGTCAGAGAGTGGGAGCAGCAGGAGCTCAGAGGAGGGAAGCCCTGTAGGCTGCTCTGGGCAGGAGAGCAGGACCCAAGGCAGCCACATCTGCATCTATGGAAAGTCAGGGCCTGGTTGGGGGATCTCGGGTTCACATCCAGCTCGGCCTCACTTCCTGACGCTGGGGTAGAGCTGGATCAAGCAACTAGTGAGCCCTGACATGGAGCAAACCCACCCAGTTCAGGGGACGGTGACAGGATTGCATGAGACGCATGCACAGTGCAGTGCACGCCGCCTTCCTAGAAACATGAGGGGACCAGACACCAGGTTGTGTTTTCTAACAGCCGCATTANAGAAGAAAAGATAAGTTAGAGGACCTCTGGCTTCCTAAAGAGATTCCTTCACACTCAGGTCGCAGCAGAGCCTGCTCCACTTTCTCGATAGACGAACCTTCTGGAGCCCACCAAATGGTCCTCAATGGTCTCCCTTGCAAGTCTTTCTCCCATCGTCTCCAAGGCGTCCAGCAGGGTGTTGACAGAGGCGCCCCGCCCCGTTTTGTTGACCCACGTCACCAGCATTTCATACAAGGCGTCCTGTGGCCCTGCAGCACGAGCTCTGGCCACATGGATCTCATTTTCGGTGAGGCCCACCAGCCGCATGAGCGGGTTCCAGGATTTAAAGGGCACGTTGTCGGGAAAGATATTATGGAAGCAAAGCCTCAGACCTAGGTAAAGACAAGACACAGAGACGGTCCGCTGAGTTGGGATGCACTTCAGGAAGGGCCGAGGGTCCTAGACCCCAAGGGTGGAGCCGAATGGACTCCCGATGCTGGTGAACCTGTTGCCCCAGTGTCCCTAGTTGCTTCCCATCCATAGAGAAGCAGGCCATACTACCGGGGTGTCACCTGCTCCCAAGACACAGCAAGGAGTCCAGGCCCACAGAGAGTCCTGCCCCAAAGGGCGGTTGATACCCCATCAGGGGGGACGGATGGACATGATGGAGGCAGAAAACAACGTGGGGAAGGAGCCACAGTGTGGGCCAGAGAGTGCGCGCAGCAGGAGCTCAGAGGAGGGAAGCCCTGTAGGCTGCGCTGGGCAGGAGAGCAGGACCCAGGGCGGCCACGTCTGCATCTATGGAAAGGCAGGGCCTGGTTGGGAGATCTCTGGTTCACATCCAGCTCGGCCTCACTTCCTGACGCTGGGGCAGAGCTGGGTGGGCCAACAGACTCTGCACTGCGAGAGTTTGACACGGAGCAAACCCACCCAGCTCAGGGGACTGCGACGGGATTGTGTGAGACACACATGCACTGCACGCCGCCTTCCTAGAAACAGGAGGGGACCAGACACCAGGTTGTGTTTTCTAACAGTCTCTTTAAAAAAGTAAAGTAAAAAGAAATAGTTGATCTTCATTTTGACAATATATTTTACTTCAATTCTATACAGAATGTTATCGTTTCAACATATTATTAATTAATCCTCAAAACATTATTAATGAGATATTTTCCATTTGTTTTGTATTACATCTTTGATGTCTGGCATGAAGCTTATATTGCAGCTCAGCAAATCGAGTCTGGCCACAGTTGAGTGCTCAGGAGCCTCCTGGGGGCTGAACCAGGCCCTGAGCAACGAGGGAGGAGCGAGGATGGTGGAAGAGGGAAGGACAAAGGAGTTGGGGACGTTGTCAGGGGACAGAGTGGCTGGGCATAGTGGGGGAGAAGAAGTGGTGGGAGAGGGGGATTTAGGGTCCCAATGGTCCAGTGACATCAGCATAAGATCCCCTGCATCCAGCATTGACTGCCCTGGAGGAGCCCTGTCAGCTGTGGGGACGGCAGAGAGGACACTGACCCTAGTCCTTCCACTCCTGCTGTGTCGCCCCCAACAAAACACTTACTCTCAATGGAGTCGGCACCATCGGCTGGATCCAGCAGCCTCCTGCTCGTCTCAGACCATTCAGCTTCTGCAAGTTCCTGTAACACACGGTGGAGAACGCCCTGGTCAGAGTCAGGAGCCCTGGGTTTCAGTCCTGCCCCTGACATACGGCAGCTGTGAGACCCGGACATGTCACTTCCCCTCTGGGGTCTCCATGAAGACGGGGGTAGACCTCCTGCCCTGCAGAGCTCACAGGCTCTGTGTGCCGGTGGCTCACTGGGGCTTAAGTTCCGTGCAGTAAATGCTCAGTTCTTAAGTGTTCCAATCAAGTATACACCTATGTATCACCCAATCAAATCAGAACATTACCACCACCACAGAAAGTCCCTTTAGGGTCAATTCTCACCAAGCCCCAGCAGGAGACAACCAGTCCTCACAGGCTTTTCATGTGACTCAGAAGATTATACATGAGAGCTCTTTGCAACATCTAACATAAGGATTTGTTCCACGAATATAAGGTGCTTTGATCAACAATAATGTACCATATTAATAGTCTAAATAAGAAAATGAAAATGCCAGATAGTCCCATGAAGGCTGAAAGGCACTTGGTAAAATTAAACACCAATTCTTATTTTTTAAAACAGCTTGCAATAGGGAGATGTATTCATAATAATTTCTATATGAAATAAGAGGTGACATCATTCAGAATGGTGACACCTGGGTGACTTTCCCAACAACATTCAATCAAGACCGAAATGCCTGCCTCCTCCAAGTTTTGCTGAACATTACTCTGAAATTCTAAACAAGAGACAGGTTTCTTGGAATGGAACAGGAAAAATAGCCATTATTTTAGATGTATGTGTACACTTTTAAAACCCTAAAATTTAAGCAATACTTAAACATGAGTGTATATTTGTCCTTCATAGTATGTGAGGGATTGTTCAAGAACCCCCAATGGATACCAAAATCCATGAATTCTCAAGTCCCTGGTATAAAATGGCACAGAATTTGCATATAACCTATACACATCCTACTGTATACCTTAAATCACCTCTAGATTACTAATAACACCGAACACAAAGCCTACACATTAAGCTCATGAATTCAATGTAGTACTCAGAGCACTAAAAATTCAAGTTTTGCTCTTTGGAGCTTTGTGGAATTTTAATTTTTCTGAATATTTCTATCCACATTTGGTTAAATCCACAGACATTTAGGGCTGACTGTATATCTGGAAAAATATAGGAGAAAAAATAAATTATAAAATGTAATTACAAGATCCAGTCTATATGGGTTACGAAACACTTAAATACAAAGAAAACAGCCTTGACAAGAAATACGAATAATTTATCTGAAGAAAAACACAAATCTTAATTGAATTATAATGAAACATTTGACTTGAAATACTATCTTGTGTGATAAGAAACGTATTGAATATTGACAAGATCTCCATTCTTCCTAGATTACTTTTTTATACTTAACATAAATTCAATAAAAATGCAGATGATTATTTTGGACATGGAGAAAATTTTACAAAACAATTCTAAATTTGATCTGGGTAAAACTATAGGTTTCTGAAAAACTAAGAAAGAGGTATTTGCTCTATTGGATATGAAGACATCGAAAATTTCACTGTGTGGAAGAATTTCATTATGTGTATAATATAATGTTTTTCCCATAAATAAATGTATAAACACACATATGCATAAAGATTTGAACAAGAAATCACAAGAAATTCTCTTTCGTAATTATCATGGAGAAAAAGACGCAGGTGGCCGAGGAGCAGCAGAGTAAGTTCTCGTTTGTTACTCACTGAGTGTCTTTCTACACTGTTTAAATTTTCCCACTTTGTTTTTTTGTTTGTTTGTTTTTGTTTTCTTTTTTGTGACCGGTAAGGGGATCGCAACCTTTGGCTTGTTGTCGCCTGCACCGCGCTCAGCCAGTGAGCGCACCCTTGGCATGGCACCCTATATAGGATCTGAACCCGCAGCGGGAGCACCCCTGCGCTCCCAGCGCTGCACTCTCCTGAGTGAGCCACGGGGCCGGCCCTAAATTTTCCCACTTTGAATATGTGTTAATCTCTTTCTATAAAAATCAAAGCACTTAATCAAGCTAGAGTGATTATTGACATTTTTAATGTTTGTTTTCCTTTTTAATGTTCTCTTTGTTAAATAAAAAATGGGCATGGATGCAAGAAAGGAGCAGAAAGGAATCGTTTAGGTGGAAGGAGAACATTGTATGAACAGGCCTGTGACTAGGGAGAAACCCAAAGCAGAGGGAATTAGGAGAATCGGTGGCCAAAAGGGTTGGAGGAACCAGAGCATTGTTTAGAACAATTCACTTTATATAGTATCACAAAAAATTTCCATTCAAATTATAGAGTTATAACTTTCTGAGCAATGAGAGAAGTTCGTCCGATGTTCAGAAAAGGTCCTTCTGAGAGCTGATGAGCAATGAAAAAGCAAATGTATCCTCAGTTTTCACGAATTAAAAATTGAAACTGTGATATGTGAAATTATGAGACCAAATGAAAGAACAACAAAAAATTAGGAATCTGTTATCTGTATGGGAGAAAATGCAGGGGCAGGAGAACATGTCTTCTTATAAAGACTCTAATAGACAAGAGACGGATCATCTGATCATATGCGAAAATAGTCAAAACAACACAAAAAATAACTTTAACACAATTAATGTTTTCTTAAATACCAAAAAGAAAAGCACTGAATGTCAATTCAAAATACATGAACTGATATGAACCAAACAAAACCAGGTGTGTGCATGCGTGTGTGTGTTTGTGTGTGTGTGTGTGTGTGTGTGTGTGTGTGTGTGTACAGGAAAAAGTTGACCTGGAAATTCTACTTCTTCTAGAAAGCCTCCCTAAAAACATCATCAGAAATCTGAACAAAGATTTCTTTTCAAATATGTTCAATGTAATGCTAATTTTGGATAACCTTAATATTCCTGATGTTTTGAGGAAGGGCTTACTGGGTTCTGTAACAAGCATACAGTGGCTGTCATGCAACCCTCATTCAGTCATCAACAAACACCGCAGTGCCCACTCTGTGCCTGAGCTGCTCCAGGTTCCAGGCACACAGGGAGAATAGGACAGACAATAGGAAGCAGAACTCTCCACAGACTGGCTCCATCTCAAGATCAGGACAGCTGTGTCTGCCATGTGAAGCCCCATTCCCTGCAGTCCCTTGTCTCTCTCAGTCTCTATCTCCCCCTGGGCCAGGACAGCTGCTGGCATCACCCCCTTGCACTGTCTACAAAGTCCTGGGCGAGCAGAGGGCCAGGGGTCTGTACGGCCCATCCCCCACTCACCAGCAGATGCTTGGCCTCCCTTGGGGACCTCAAGGTGATGACACGTGCCAGCTCTGCTGGCTCCTGACCTTCCATCTTCTGCTCAGAGACCAGGATGGACGATGAGTGTCTGCTGCTCAGTACCTCTTTGTGGGCATTGTCCTGAGCCCCGGGACCTCTTGGGGGACACGAGCACCAGAAAAAGACCTTGGGAAGGCCAAAAAGCTGACTCAGGGTCCACATCCAGGGCTCCCTGCAGGGTCCCCAAGGTCCCAACATCCCTGCCTCCTCCCATGGGGTTACCCAAGGCAGGCACAGACACAGTAAGTCTAGGGTCTGCTGCTGAGTTAAGGTGGGTCACCCCTTTACTGCCCCCCACCCCAGAGTGCAGGGCTATGGCATGGGGGTGTCTCCAGGCAGCAGGAAGGACAGGGCTGCAGCATGGTCCACTAGCCTGGAGAGGCTCAAAACAGTCACTTGCCCCTTGCAGTCCACCCAGAGACCCAGGCAACTAGAGAGAAGCCAGGCAGAAGAGTAGGACCAGTTGGGGATGAGTCCACCCAACTCTGCTGCGGGTGGAAAATAGTTCCTGAGTGCCCAGTGCCCCAAGGTACTAGAAACCCACTCACTTTGTGTATGCACTTGGGGTCCACTCCACAACCTGAAAGAGAAGGCGCAGCCCCTTAGCAAGTGGGCAGGGGCCTCCCACAGCACCTCCTTCCCCAAGGCAAGGCCGGGGCAGGGGTGGGCTGGGCTCAGACGCTGGACATGGAGCCCAGGGCCTGGGGACAGGGATGGGGCCATGCCAACTCTGGGCACCATCAGGAGGAGGAGCAGAAGGGGAAATAGAGTAAAAATCATCACATGTAGAATCTCTGGTCCTGCTCCAGCCAAAGCTCTGTAAACACCCTGATCACATCTCATCCTGACCCTCATCCCCAGTCCAGGAGCTGACTGTCCCTCTGCCCTGGCGGTGCCCTGCAGACGTAGGAACTGGCTGGGAGATGAGGCGACCCCCAGAGAGGGGCTGGTGAGACCCTGGTTCCCATGGGGTGCGCATGAGGCAAGTGGTGGAGGAGAAATCACAAGGAAGAAGATAGAGCCAAGCTGGGAAGACACCAGGATTTGGGAGACAGGAGGCATTTCTGTCTGTGGGAACAGAGTGGGACAGGGAGGGACGGAGAGTGCCAGACCTCTACCCTCAGCCAACACTCACCTGGATGGAAGTACCTCCTGTAAAGACGTTTGGCCACCAGCCCCAATAGCAGGAACACAATCACAGTTCCAATCACAATCCCCACAACCAGGTATCCATGACCTGAGTAAAGACAGGGAGAGGCAGGAGTCTCCTGGCTGGTGGTCACCGATTCTCCAGTGGTTGGGGCTTCCCCAGTGGCCTTTGTACCTGATTCTTTGGGGACACACATGAGATCTCTCCAGGGTGTACAGGGACTCTTCTCAACCATCCCATTGGGGCACCTGGGAACACACATGGGAAGTGACAGGTTTCGTGAGAGAAGCTGCCAGATGGCCTAAGAGAGGGAGCCCCCTCCCTGCCCAATGTCCCTGAGAAGCTGTCAGAGGAAGGGCAGGCTCCTCATATCTCCAGGGGTCCCCCCACTGCCACTTGTTGAGTCTGTGGGAGGATCTGAGCTCTGTGGGCCCCCTGCTCACGCTCCCTGGTCAGAGCTGCAGCCTTCAGGAGCCTTCTCTGCAGGGCACACGCTGAGCTTCCCTGGGTAACAGGGAAGGCTCCATGCTAAGGGACAGTCACAAGCCCATGTGGCCATGAGCTGAGCCATGTCCTGCAGTCAACTTTAAATATAACTAAGCTCTTGTCTTCCACCTGTTTGACCATTCCTACAATCACAGCAAATGCTAGGGGGTCAGAGAACAGTCACTTAACTATTGTTCTCTAATAGCAAAACTAGGGAAGGGACAGGCCCTATTGAGGGATCGGGAGCCAGGGGTGAGGCTGCCTGAGCTGAATCAAGTATTTATGACAATCTAGAAGGAGCTACATGCTCACATTCATGATGATTTTGTGGGCCATGGGGACTTTTGTCTTCCTGGGCCCCTTCTTGAGAAAAAAAATAAAGTTACATCTTAGGACTCAGTTGTTTCAAATATGAATATAACCTAGGCTGGATTCCATGCAGTTCTTTTTCTTATGATTTCAAAATAAATTAAAACAGTTCATGGGCTCCTAAAAGTATCATGGCCCTAAGTCTTGGCCTCCTGTGCCCACTGAGCTGGTCGGCCTGGCCAAGGGGAAAACATGCTGAGAAGGTGTAGGAAGGGGCCACTGCAGGGGCAGGGGTGGGACCTGCACACGGACCAGGAGGGGCCCTGCAGGATCAGAAAACCCCACAGGCACACGGGCTTGGGGGCGAGGATGGGGTGCAAGGAGACTCGGGTCTTCTGGGGGTTCCCTTGAGCTGCTGGGGGCCCCCTTGGCTCCTGTGTCTTACCTAGTGCTGCACTTCTGGCACATCTCAGGGGA